GACTTAGGCAGCAGACATTTTTGAAAATATATGAAAGCTTTACAGTTTTCAAGTACACTTTTTGAGGCATGATAGTTAGAAGTTAATGAAACAAGGTGGAAGGATAGAGAAAAAATGTGGCCATCCTGTCCCCAGCTACATTTTTAGATAATAAGGAGAACTTCCAGATATTCAAATTGTATAGGCACCTACATAGCCATCCATCAATATTCTACCAGTCTTGCTGCATTCTACTTTAAAGAGAGTTGATATTTTCCCACTTATTGCTAAGATGTAGTAGAAGGGCATTCAAAGCCATGGGAACACAGCAGTGGTGGGTTTCAAAATTTTTTAGAACCTCTTCTGTAAGTGTGGCCTGCTTTGTGGGAGTAGCTTGCAGGCCATGTGACCGGGTGGGAGTGGCTTGCCAGCCATGTGACTGCGTGGGCATGGCCAACTTATAAAATGTGGTGAAACTCACTTAACAACGCTCTTGCTTAGCAACCAAAATGTTAGCTCAGAAACTCTGGCATTTGAAGCGTGCAAGTCTTAAAGCTGTCAAGTTACAAGACCCTCGCACCCCTAAACCTTTAGAAAAAAAACTCTGGGTTGTTCAAACTTGACAGCTTTAAGACTTGTGGACTTCAACTCCCAGAGTTCCTCCTCTCGCTCTTCATCTTGATGATGTGGGGATGGGCGGGGGAGGGGGGAGCTGGAACCGGTTCTAAACAGCACTGTAGATCTATAGAAGAGGTTAGAACTGGCAGGAATCCACCCCTGGAACACAGCAATCACTTTCTTTAACTTCTTCTATATTAAAACTGTTAAGAACAATAACATTCCCTTATCTTGTTAACTGAGGCAGAATAGGATTTAGTAATCAAGGCAGTACAATTTACTTTGCCATAGTTTTCTTGCTGACTCAAGAAAAGGGGAAATAAATATAAATGCAGCTACCAGGAAAAACATTTTTTAAAAATAAGTTAAATAGAAAGTAATTTACTTTCCATTTATCAACATTATCAGCACCTGATCAGGTGCTGTTCAATGCTGCCACCTATTATCTGTTCTTGAATACTGCAGTACACAAATGAAAAGTGGAAACAGCAATGTTAATATTGAGATTGCTCCTGTGAGCTACATCTTCTCACAAAGCTATGGTTTGTTTTTTTTTAGTAGAAAAAACATAAGTTCTATATTGTGAACTGTACCATACATATAATTTATAGGGCTAAAGTCTTTGCTTCGGATACATCAATCAACATAGATTCAGGTTCAGAGGGGAGTGGTTTTTCCTTTCTCTTAAGTCAACATGCTAACATTAACATTGCTTAGTAAATGTTAACATATTGACTTAGTGGAAAATCTTGCTTCACTTTTTTGGCCCTGATTTTGCTTGTATCTTAAGTGTTCATTTGTGATTTGCTTTATTTTGAATCATATGATTATCACCAAAGGCTCGTCAGAGCATGGGTTAAATATAGGCAAGGATTATGGCAAGCTCTCAACAGCTATCGGTTTAGGAGAAAAGCAACACAAGGACAAAAACAACAAAAAGCTCCTTCAAAGGCCAACTTATAAACCTGGCTGCCAAGAATGCTAGTGTCACTTTACTTACATCTTTCAGAAATGTTTAACTAGTTATTTGGCCATCTCTGTATTTGTGTAGTCTCTAGTTCCCTACATCAGAAACACTGTTGATTTATTTCTCCCTAGAGAGGAAAAACGTTTATGCAATCTACAAAAATAAAAATAAGGAACCACCGGTATGTTTTTAAATAAAGCTTGTGATTGAAATCCACCATCATTTGGTGCCATCTGTCATTTGTGCAGAACGCCATGTTATTCCTATTTTACCTTTAATTAAAATTCAGTACAATACCTTACCCTACCCAAACATGTTAGAATATAACTACCTCTGGCTTGAAATGCAGTTCCACCCTTTCTACTTTTCAGAGCAATAAAAAAGTCCAGGGTGCTTACTCATTTGGAAGGCAATCATTGGAATCTTAAGGTGTTTAGTTTATTGGACACATAAATAATTCAAAGGTATAATTTAAAAGCTCTCCAGAAGACAGTGAAATCCATTGCCTCAGGGTTGAAATTTCAGAGTCTCAATAGATGGCCACACTATTTATATGTGTTTATATAATAAATCCTCATCATAAGAATTAGTCATCTTCTTTGGCTTCTTCTAGCCTTCTTGGTTAATTTATCTGCAATTTACTTAAAACAACGATGTGGCTGGGAGTCGTCCTCATAATTTTGGCTTCCTTTTTGTTCTTCTGTTCAGATCTTCAGTTTTTTCAAAATAACATTGTAATTCTTAACCATTTTATAAGCATATGTTGCCCAAATAAAGAGGTGTTATACTGTGTACGGGCTCTGGGAAGTCGGGGGGGGGGGAAGGGGGGGGGGGGTAATGGGGGGGAGGGGGGGGGGGGGGGGGGGGGGGGGGGG